ACAGCGCTTGAGAGAGAGAGAGCCATGCAATCAGTTGACCACTTTTTATTTGCCCATCTTAGTAACTGGCACATTAGGGGCTTCTCCAATTCGCCCCCTTCGAGCGACGTGGCCCTCGAGTGAGCCCCTCTATTTAGCAATAGTACCCATTCTATCCCCCTTTTATGTCTTCGTTCAGTCCCGGGGGCATCCTCGATTCACGGGAGCAGCTAAAGCGCTTAGCAGGACAGCTTTGGCATTTCAATTCAGGAGGTTTAAGGATAAAATCCCTTATTCCGCCGTTTCGCTTAAGGGAATAGGCAAAACATAAAACTCTCTTCCGTCAATTGCACGCTCTGTCTTATTATACTAAGTTGTGCCAAAATTACGAAGCTAGAAAAGTGGAGCGCAGGATAGCTCTCTAAAAGGTTGGAATTTTATCTACGAAAGGTAGTGCCTCCTTTCCAACCAATTGGTAGAATAAGCAGTATTAAAGGAAAATGATGATTTTCGACAAAAGAATAATCGGATGTACTCGCGGAGGGCTACAGTCAGCCTGTCAGACGATCTAGTGAAGAACGACAATTGCCTCAATCTGAAGTGAATTTGTGCCTCCCCTTTACTCACTAAGCGAAGTAGAGCGTTTGGTCCAGAGGTGGTGGTGGTGGGAAAGATGGGTGTGTTGGTTTGACTCCACTAGATTATTTCACCGGGTACTTATGCCATGGTTAGTAATCGAGCAACGACTGGTTTGTACTTTAAGCCTAGCCTATGCAACATAAATTCTATCCTTAAGATAATGAGATTCATCCTTGTACATGCTTCTCAAATGATGGCAAAATGATAGATGCACATGAATGGAAACAAAGTGAGGATTATGAACAACAGGAATCCCATCCATATTAAGGCATCGTTGGACCTCTGTACAAATTCAAGGTTAACTTTGAACCCAAAAATTGAGCTTAAAACGTGTGCCGAATTAAGTCGAGTACTACACACTTACAGAGGATATTTTTTTTGGAAATCCGAAAGAAACTTCGAATAGTTACATTTTGTCGTTGTGGGTTTGGAACTGGTGGCAATGAATGAACGAAAAATCCCTTGATTCGTTAGGAATTTGGAAGGTAGTGCAAATAACAACCCACTTAGGTACCCAAGCAAATACCCAAGACGACAGGAATCCACATGTGAGGAGTAAAGCGAGCTTTTGAGGCGACTAATGTGTAATATTCAGGAAAGAAATTCCCTACATGAGTTTTACACCCTTTGAAAATGATTTGAAAACGAGGAAGGTGGCAAATAAGGGGCATTTGATTAGATTGCGCTGGTGCAATTTTAGTATGTTTACTAAAGGAATTCAAACAACATCTTTGGGTCAAGAATTTTATTGAAGGTTAACTCTCAATAAACGAATCTTTATTTACAATTACCATCGTGCACATAATTCCCACGGTCATGCAATAGACAGACAAAGCACTACCGTTAAAAGTTAACAAAAACTTTAAAGCAGTGCTTATTAGTTTGCCAAACCCAAGAGAAAATGAGTTCGGATCCGAAATCAAGGGATTAATTCCCATTTTACAAACAGCAAAAGTACATTTCGATAGTCTAGAATTGCAGAACAAACACCTCTCTCAAATTTCATTTTCAGTTATTTTACATCAATATTGTTGGGTGATCTGATGTCTATTTGACTAAGGTATGAAAATTTGAACATTCTACCCCTGAGGTCTGCACTTCTGTGCTCACAACGAAATGTGAAGCGTTCGTAATTTGTTTAATTCTCGGTTTCGTTTAGGAGTACCTGGGCGGTAAGTTTGTCGTTGCCAGCTGAGCTGACCTCTCTATCATGTCAGCAGCTTCAATTTTTATCTCTTCACCATATATGTATATGCATAGTAATAATAATGCTTTGTCCATGTGACCACCTGATGTCTGACGACTACTTTGGTATTCATTTGGCTCTTGTGCGCGTGGGCTGGTCTTCGGTCCAAGCTTAGGCTTAATCCCATTTCTCCTCCCAGAATGCATGTATTCGGCCCAAATTAATACCTTCTTCTGCCACGAATATGAGTGTAGGATCTCCTAGCTTACCCTGAAGCTGGATCCTCCACAGAAGGATGCTCACGTTTTTCCAGCACGGATTCGCGTTCGATTTACCCAATCGCCTTTCCCTTATACGGGTAACTTAAACATTAGTATATATACATATTGCAATGAGTATTTATAAAAAGCATAAACAATGATGCAAATGTAACAAACATAAATATAAATAAAGATATATAAACATAATCTATCGAAGCATCGTCATCTTTTGTTTTAAGAGAAACTTCGACTTATTGTAGTGATTCCCTGACAGTGTCTATGTTCGCGTAGGTCTCTTCCACAAATAATGATAGACTTACGAATCGATGGCAATGGTAAGCAAGTCCAGTCAACTTGATGGGTGTTTCTAGTTCTGTTGTTGAAAACTTAGAAAGATATATGGGCTCATCAACAGAGAGTCAGGAGTGATTAGGCGGTGATTGATTTTGACATTTTGTGTTTAACTACTGGTACTCGTCATGGTGATTTAAGAGGTCAGATTGGTTTTTCTAAAAGCCCAATTGAGCAAATTCAGTCAGACATCTTCAAGGAGGATTTCACAGTATAATTGAGAGTCCGGCAATAAAATCGAGATCTAGTAAGTTGGAATAAGGAGAAGATGATTAGTAGTGTAGATGTTTTACTTCTGCTTATTATTAGGCAATTGCTACAAGTTTTTACAGGCGCTTCCAATAGGCAACCACCACATGGATTTCATGTCTTGGGGGCCATTGCTATATGCATTGTGTGAAAACACAACTCGAATCTTGTTATCTAGGAACGAGACGACTCTGATGCTGACTAAAATCATAAGAGGCTCCCTATTTGAATGCGTTATCACGACTTATTATCTCTAGGCTAACCCAATTGTCCTAGAACGATCAAGACCTTCATAAAAGGAACAGCAGTGGAAAAAAAGAGCGTGCAAAATCACAAAAGCCAGAGGTGCTAACCTCCGAATTTTTTCACAAACCTCGACCTTATTCAATTTTTCTAAAAACAAGGATCCCACTTAAGTACTATGGCTTACATTGCCAGACGAAACGGGAAAAACCTACGGGCACAATTCTGCCTTAAGTTTTACGATATTGATTATTCTGCCCGCATTTTTAATCCCCGCTCCTACTGAAATTAAATTACAATTTGGTCCACTCTGTGTAGTTGTTAAAGCGTTGACCACAAGGGGATTAAAAGTGTTGAGGACAAATCTAGGGCGTTTCTCCTACCCCACATTGACGACTTGTTGGATTCACTACGAAGAGCCATGTCGCTGCCGAAGTTGGACCTGAACCTCGGACTTCATGAGAGGGTTGGTTGAGAAAGGTTTATTTGGCATCAGGTACAGAAAACGTAAGTGTGGGAGTATTAATAAGACGCTTAACAGATGTCACCATGAGGATGTCTCTTCGTACTCCTCACGTATGGGATTCATGTTCGAATTGCTTAACCGTCTCTTCCCTATTAAGGTAGCTTGCACACACTACAGCAACATCCATAAGAAACTGCAATCCTATAGCGACCAGTAAACAAACTACCAAATGAGTCCTTAAGCTCACACTGTAATACTATGTTCAATCGACTGCCTGTATGAGTGGCAGACTCTTAGGCCACCACCATGCCGCTGTTGGGAGAGCTGGCCCTATGGCCATCCTGAAGCCCACCTATTTTTCTTTTTGCCTAAAATGCAGGCATTTTATAAAGACTATTAGTTTGATTACTTTATGAGCAGGTTCAGAGAGCTCCATCCACGGTTTGTAAATATGCCAATTCGGAATTTTGTGCTAGAAAGTCTATCACTCATTCGTTCTTTTAAGATTCGTAGTATAACTTACATTCTAAAGTGAACTTTCATATCTCATGAAAGCCGCCTTTTGCACCTATAGAACTGTCAATATTTGTACAAGTACAAAAATTGGGTGTCAAAGGTTTTGATTCACATAATCTGCTTAGCCGAAATTAATTGTAGGTAAAGACAACGCATAAGCTCTTATTGCGAGTGGCATGTTAGAACCATTTTAGGCCATTGTGAGCGCAGTTTATTGAAGTCAAATTAAGTTACCATATTTGAATTTGCTGTTGCATACGAGTCAGCCCGTTTGATCATGTCTGCCTGAACTACTTTGGGCCTTATGGAGGTTATAAATAACTTACTCGCTGGTGAGCCTTCGCTGTTACTGGTATTAGGCTTAGTAAAAACCCTCGGAGCTCGGTTACCCGTTTCACATGCTTTAATCATTTATACTTTAGGTTGTTCCGAATGGTCTACTCCTTATAATTAGTTTTGGGTCGTCATCTACTTAAGCCGTGGGTGCGATTTACTCAGTACAGGATGAGTTATTCAAATACTCTAACTTATTTAGGTGTGGTTGTGTACAATGCCAAAGACTAGTAGGTCGAACTTTTTCTCTGACAATTGCCTTAGCTACCATTACTGACAGTAGTGAATTTGCTCGATAGTAGGTGTTTTGAGTAGATTTGGTAAGATTTTGCAACTTAGAAAACTATTGAACTCGTAACTAGGTAGTTTTTCTTCAAATATGGTAATTGGTTTTCAAACACTAACTTCTAGCAAGTTGTCTATGGGTTTATTCTTGAACGCGCCCTAAGCAATAACGACGTGATCCCCCAATCTCAGTAACATTTTCATTAAATCTAGGTAATCAACGCAAGCCGCGAACCGATCCGACGGTGATTTCTAGTAGTTCGGGCAGCATTCGATACAAATGGCCACCCCGTCGTAGGCGCACGAAGGCCCAAAAGAGTGCCGAAGCAGAGTCCGTGCCAACAGCGGCATCATCATTGGAATTGGGCTCGGACGCAGCTTCGGCGGTGTTGTATCCAGGCTTGGTGCGAGTTGCTGCAGACGATTCTTGTGTCGTTTGCGCTAACGATGTGGATTGGCTCTACGAGCTGCAAAAGTGCGGCCACCGAGCCTGTCTTGATTGTTGGCGGGCCTTCGTTGCCTCTCAAGTGTCATCTTTCGCCATGGCCCATATTACCTGCATAGCCTGTGACCGTCGACTCTCAAGAGTCCTCACCATTCAACTCCTCAGGCCTCCTCATCAACTTCACTCTGAAACCTCCTCTGCTCGGGACGAGTATACCACGTTTTCAGCCGGGCAGCAGTCATCTGCGGCGAAGTTGTACCAGCGATACGAGGACTTCCTCCTTCACCAATGCCTCATACATGATAAGAGGACTCGTTGGTGTCCCTGCGGTTGTGGGTGAGGAGCTTGGGATCAAGTGGTCAACTTATCACACACGTGGTTTGCTGTGAAATGCTTATGTAACGTTTGGATTTTCATAGGCCACTTGATCTTCCTTACCATCAATGCATTGCCACACCGCGATAAAGTAAATATGCTCCAAGGTCTTGCGTGCTGTGACATTGAATGACCTTCGAGGTCCTGCAAACCCTCATTCATTCCTCTAATTAAATGAGGATTTTTAATGAAATCAATTACTTTCATGTGTTGAAACTCTCAAGCGTATACTTTGATGCAGATCATTACGCATGTGCTATTATTTATTTCGTTTATAGTCTCTTTATGCGGTTTAGGAAACCAAGCACCTCTATAGTATGCGTAGCGAATAGTTGCACGAAAGGGAGTCAAATCAAGAAAACCGTAGTGACGGATACTTCTGCGCGAAATCATCATTTAACTCATGGGCAATGCTTGGGTCGCTGGGAAACAAAATAGAATCTTATTGGACCACTATATGTATTTAGTTATTGAGCTCATTAAATTAAATCTTTTTTATAACGTACTATTATGGTTTCTTCCTTATTGGCAAAAATGCTATATTGCATGAAATATTTTTTGGATAAATCCAAAACCTAAGCTACAAGATCAATCGGAGTATGTTGTAGCTCATTTCACTCGCGACACCGTTCTTACCACGATAGTACTGCAAAAGGAGTAGTTAATGAAGAAGCAATATGATGAAATACTGAGCTATAAGTTGGTGAATTTATGCTTACTCATATTGTTTTGGTGAAAGCTGTGGAATGCTGCAAATATTGGTTAAAAAAGGAATCGTAGTGTTTTTTCTAGTCAAAACACTGCTAGTCTTGTATCTGCAGTGATCTTAGCTCCTCGCTCGTGGGAGCCAGTAACGAAATTTCTTAGAATCTACTTTCAATTGCTCCGTTCTTTGCTTTTAGCAAATCATAATCTTGATGTGAAAAACAAATCAGCCAGGATCTTTTGCTGCATGATATATTTGAAGTAGAGCAGGTTGTATCGCTGGCTACTTCGTAAAGAGACTGTATTGCTTTTATGTTCGGGTAGATTCGTTGCTTGAACTTCCCTAGCTGAGGCCAAGGTAGCAGCGGGAATTTCTGGGAGTTATTAGCTGCTTGCGAACAATGCCGATAGGCTTTGACGTCTGGTAATGCTTGCGTACATGTGGTACCAGTGGGCAAAACTGGTGATGGACTTCTTGAGATTGGTGTCAGAATGACCAGCATAAAATTGATGAAATACTTTTAGAGGTATTGGCTTGGACATATCAAAACTGTAAAGATTCTATAACTACTAGTGTTGTACAATAGATCGCGCTGGTGAAATGGTAGCTGTTTAGAGTTGTCGAAGGGTGACTGCTCCAGGTTTCTTTGAGATTTTTTACATTTCCCCTATAGCTCTCCAAATCAGGATTCAGATGTAGTTATTTCCTTCTCAAGAGTCATTTTTCCCCATGAGATTACTTGTACACGAATGCATCATTACTAGGTATGTCTCTTGGCTCTAAGTGCTGCCATTGACACATTTCGTCCATTCTGGCACTATTAAATGCCAAAATTGATATTTTTATACTTGTTGTTATAAGGGTTTTGTACATAGCATACGTGCGTATGATCACGCGAGTATTCAGACTCATTTTCATTCCACTTATTGTTTTCCTTTAATTACGGCGATCTTGGGTGATAGGGGAAGGGAAGAAAGTTGTCAATTATTTACATCTTATTCTCCTAAAGATATGCGGTGCTTGCGAGTCACAAATTCCGAGCCTGCCCCCGAATCGAATGTAAAAATGCCAACTGTCAGAATGCGGCCTTCTGTTACAAGTGTCGGGGACCGTGGGGCACTGATGGTCGTGATCACGTTTGCCATCAGTCGACCATCGCTGGTGCTACGTCCGCCGGAGGTGGCGGTGCCGAAGGAAGTGACATTCTCACCGACAACCATCGATCTCTGCTCTCACGACTTCAACAATTGCTCCGCCTACCTGCTGCCGCTGCAGCTCCCGTGGATGCTGCAGTTGTAGCAACAGTGGCGAGTAGAGGCGCTCAACCAAAAGCAGAAGCGGAGATAAACGGTGATCTTAATAGGGGCCCAGAGGGTCCAATTCGACTTTTCTCGGACCGACGCTTCTCTACACCTGCTATACCGGTTCAGGCGGCTGGTGCTGCTGGCGTGAATACCGACGATGAAGATGATAATGGGGCAGTGAATCGAGGGTACGCCTTCTGTTTTCCCTACCTCGATGTACTGTATGGTAGTCTATTAATTTCAGAAAAGTTGTTCTTTTTGATTGTTGACTACATGAATGTTTTTTTACTTTAAAGTGCAGATTTCATTTGTTTCGGTAACTACAGCTTTACTGTTTATTAATGTGCAGTCAGATATGTATGCGAACTTTGAACAATCTGCGTCTTTCTAAGTCATGGGTATTTTATGTCAGAGAAATGAGGCGATCGTTTAACTTGGCAGAAAGAGCCACCTAAAGTACATTTTTTGCGCTTTCCTCTATATGCTGCTAGTTGTAGATTTTGCCTATTTAACGAATCGTTCTGGGGAATCATTGACCGCGTCTATTATAACCAATTTCGGATTCTCACGATTAAAGGATTAACAAGGGAATTTGCGCCTCCCACGCAACTAACTGAGTACTGAGTTATTTCTCTAACGAGGTATTAGATAGGAGGCAGATATCGTATCGTATAAACGGCTCCTTGCGGGGTTTTGAAGCCTTTGGTTTGGCTTAACATTGGGGAATGGTTATGGTTACGCTTCACAAGTCTTTGATAATATTTAGTTGAGGTCAACCAATCAGGGCTGTCGTGTTATTTTGATATGACAATTTGAGGAACTGCGAGTATATTTAAAAGGAGAAGAATGTGCAGGATGCGGACAGTAATTTTAAATTGAATTTCCTACGTACAAACACCTCCGTACCTACACAACACTCCTTAACACAGAGCTGGCTAAGCATGACAAGAATGCCAATTGAGTTAAAAAACCTTCCCAGGTGATGCCCATGAGGTTGTGTCATGCGTGTGAATGGGGTGATATGTGTTTGGCTTTGTCCATAATCATACTCCAATGTGTGCTTTAGCGTGTCCATGTGCATCCACCCACAAACTATTTTTCACAATACCCATCCAAATTGAACTTCCGGCTATGGCTTGCACTATAAACAGTCACGCTTGATTGGGTTCTGCCGCTGGGGGGTCATACTTGAATGGGTGGCTTCGTGCTGGGATGGCGAGAAAACACGATCTGCAGTGCCTGCGGACATTTTTGGGTCTATGAGGTTAGGAACAGCTTTATCATAGATGTTTGGGCTGAATAGATCTGTGTAGCAAAATGAGGCTTTGGACTATGGATTGAACATACCTTAGAGTTATCACTTATGAAATTCTTGGCATAAAACTTAGCAAAATCCATTGTTGTTAGTTAGTTGGCTGGTACACTGGGATTGAAGTTGTGTTGTTTTACTATTTTAGCAAATAAACGGCATGTTTTTTTCTGACACTGAATTGCTAACCCAATTTATAATGGGGGCTAATTTCTACTGCATACATTTCGTTGTCGTCGGAGTGTCAACTCTTGATACCTCCTTTCTACCACTGTTGCTTTTTTGGTTTAAAAGTACTTTTTCACATAGCCGACGTAATTTTTAAGAAACTGACCTCTCATTTCACCATTTACTTCTTGTACTCATCAAGCAACAATATTGGGATTTTAATCTGCTCACATTAATGCGTTGTGACCTCATTGGTGAAATTCATGCCCCAATACATTATAGTACAGTTAGCGTATTCTCGTGAGGTTAAGTGCATGTTTGGTAAATGAATACTTAATGCAGTCAAGGCATCTGATTTCCAGTAGAATTGATTCCTCCTACTACTCATCAGTGAAGCACTCTTTTACTCCTATGGATCCACTTCTGTGTGGTTAATTTATTGCTATTATTAGTAATGCTCAACAAATCCGACTTAAATTGAATTTGTATAAACCCGTAAAGATATTTCATTCTTACCAATGCAGAAACCTCATACTTTGTGTCTCCGTGGAGGAAAGAGATGAAGTTTTAGGAACGTCGGTCCTTGTTTCTTGTGCGTTCTTAAACAGCCAACTGACAGCTGTGCGATAATGAGTTAGAAGTAATGGGTACTCTTTACTTCTGAAACACTAAATCATACTTATTTCTCGTACTGACTGGCATCTATTCTTTTACATTTCTAATTCACCACCCGGAGAGTTGTTTTTTTTGTTACGGCAGCATCATATCACGTGCCAGTGTTGAGAAAATTAAGGTGAAATTGTCCTCACTCATCTTACCTATTGCATTCTTCACGCGGAAGGAAAACAGCCTTCCAAATTAAGTAAGTACTGCCGGTGGTCAGATGGTGGAGAAAAAAAGCGCCAATTGTAAGGCTAACGTGATGCTTGTCGCTAGACCTGGTATTATTCTACCCAACAACCCTTGTGTCTGTTATTAGCTTCACCATACGAATGCCATTTTTATGCCTGAAATGCCAGATACCGACGATTTTTCTAATTCATATGTTTCTGATTATTTTCTGCAACATTTCCGTTATGATGGTCATGCTATTGCATCCACTTATCCCTTTAAGTGTGTTCTATTCACAAGTTCCTTCGTAATGTTTAAAAGAAAGGAAAAGAAAGCAGGTTTTAAGCGTAAAGCTGCATGTCGCTAACTGACTAAAAATCAGATGAAAAAGTAAAGGTTTGACAAGACGCCTTTCCTAACCCTACCTACTTGTGAAGATGTATGTATTTCTAGAAAGGAATCATAAACTGAGGGAAGGGAGTTATTGCTCCACATTGTTGGTGAGCAATGCAATCATTTGGAGACGGTTGCTATTGTTCAAATGTTTCGATGGGTTGCTTGTCAAATGCTGTAATTTTGTGTCCTTAAGTACTTATGAAGATATTTTTTACCAATGTTGGTTCCACTGAAGAGCCTCCATTCTCTAGGAATTTTCGGTCGGGATGCATTATTATATGAAGGCCATTTTTAGCTATTCTTTTAGCATAACCCCATAGATAGCAATCTAAGTGTTTCAACATGGATTTAGGATGTTAAACATTTAGGAATTACCGATTCTGAGTCTTGAGATCCAGTCGAGTCCAGCGTATGTACTTGGGGCCTACCTTGAGCGACCTTTGACGTTGAAATGATTCTATGACCTTGTGAGGAAAGCTTACGGATCATGACAGTTCTTGTTGACTTGCCCTAATTGCTGTTGATGTTATCTTGTCCTCATTGCATAAGTGCGATATTTCTAGCAAAATGGGAATTTCTACTGAGCTTTCATATGTTATCTTCCAAATTGTAATTAACACGAACATAGTTCATTATGAAAATTGCAAATCTTTTTGGTAAAGGTTGTGATGAGAAGTTACTCTGTCATATCTCGCATGCAGATGTGTTCGAGTGAACCCATTGTAAAGGCCTATTTTTCAAAGTCTTGATAAGTCACGGGGATGCTGTAGTACAGTGCCAAACACTTGAGATGGCTTCGTTCAGGAAATGGGGGTTTCATTTGAAGGGGTAGTCTGCTAGAGCTTTGTACCACTGCAGGGCTTGCCTTCGCATCAATTTACGATCCCCTAAAATGCACGAAAATGTTACTCTTATAACTTAGATTTGTATTTAGCTTTGAAATAAACAGACACGTGCATACGTGTGTTAGTGTTGCGCGTCTGAACCGAGCCTCATGCGAATCACCTTATCTGCAAGTGCCTCGAGTCATCGAAACCGCCTTTCCAATCAACATGGGATTGAAGGTGATGCGATTTTAGCTAATTGCGCATGTGTACTTGTCGCAAACTATTAAACTATTGATTTGCCATCATGTTCACCCTCGAGGGAATGTTTTAATTTTTAGGGTCAAAAGTTGATGCCTTTTTGCGTACTTAAATTTCCTTTTTGTGTCATTCTATTTCAGATCTGATGCAGATATATCGAAGGTCGAATTAGAACTTCCCGATAATTTAACCGGTATGCGAGTTTGTAATTACCTTGTCATTGACATTTTCAAAGTTTATTTGTTGCAGACATTTGGCATCCTACATATTTGTTTACTTGGACTTGGTTGAAGGTGTAGCAACCAATTTCATGTGATTTTTGCCGTATTCGGTTCGCTATCCACCATGCTGTCATTGCCATCGATGTTCAAGCACTTTTATGGGATCCGTTAATTTATTCCATGTGAGATGAAAACATTCTTGGTTTTTTACAAACTAAGCATTACTGAGGTAGTCGGTTTTAGGAAACACTGTGGACAATCGACAGTCAAGATTGAAATTGATCATCCAAGCGATTGACAAACATGCCGAGGTTTTAACTGTTTAGTGTTTCCCTCAACAAAAACCATGCTCTTTGAGGCGTTTCCACAAGTTTGTGCAATGTTTAACAAAGTCCACAACTTGAATCGCAAAAGTTTGCAATTCGAATTCTATAGCATGACAACGGGTAAGGTATATCAAACAGTTCATCACTTTCTGTCTTTCGTTTGTACTTCGACAGCCGCTAGTTTACAATTGCATGGTTTTACTAAATAATCCGTGGTGAAGGCTCACTTACCATGTGATTGTATATATACACACCAATCAACTCATTTATTCTTGTGTAAAGAATGCTGTACCAACGTCCTTGTTTGGTATGTGAGGCCGCTAAACCCTCTGGCGACAGAGTTAAATGCGACTGCTAGTGAGACGGAGAAAAATGTGAGGACCTTTTTTTGGAGCAAGTGGCTAGCTGACTTTCCAGCCAATAGCTCAAGCGTTTGAGGTTGGAGTGAGTGTAGACTTTCTTTGCTTTAGTCAAGAGGCAACCAATGACGAAATTAGTGGGCAATCTTTGTACCGTTGTGCAAAATATTGGCAAATTTATGGCCTTGCACGGATTCACATCACTATCGTCATTTCAAGGTTAATCTTGCTGACTGACTATTTATTACGAAATATAACATCCTAACAGAATGGATCACTTTGTTCGTCTTTGGGAAAAAAGCCAAGGTTGCGGAGCTACAAGGCTTAGAAGACAGTCATCAGGTGGATTTTAATCTCCTTAATGAAGAGAGGTTCTTTTTACTTCTTACCTTCTCTGGTTTAGGTCTCCGTTTTTACCCACTGGCAATTGCATTAGTATCATTGGAAATCACAGTTATCCTCAAATATTAGTGAGTAAAAATAGCCCTGCGCTATCTTCTACCTCTCGAGCAATGGGGTAAGGGAGGAATTGAGACAGTATGGTTGTCCCTTTCTCTTTTAATCATTACACACCATATTTGATTTTACCAAACAAATACATCCCATCTGAGTGCGGATGTTAATTTCTATTGGATCTGGTTTTGAATCAAGAGAACCTTCTTCTTCCGATCAAAACAAGAACCTTCTGGCCCAATGACACTGTTCATATCCTATTTGCTGATTGAATAAGCCTGATTGAGTGCTGATTTCTCTGTGCTGTACACCATTAGTTGTTGCAGATCAACCATCTCTGCCTTCAAATTAATGCTCAATGTTGTCTCCCTGTGATTGTAGGTCAAGTAAAGGCGTGTCCTCGGTGTAAAACCCTACTGCTAAAACTCGATGATGGATCGTGCAATCACATGACCTGTTTTATCTGCGGTTGTGAATTCTGTTGGCTTTGTCTTCGTGAGGTTCGAGACACCCACTTTCTCAGGTAGGCGAAGCTCTTACTCACATTTTACCCCCAAATTGATGCCATTGTGTCAATCTCATGTGATTCAAAAGTGCTCTCTTAAAATATCTACAACGTTTGCTTTCTGTGATATTTTTACTACGCGAATAAAAACCAAAAATTCGGAGCAGATATAAATGGAAACAAAACTTGTGGCCAATTTTTATAAAATTCGCCTGCTTTGAAAAAACAAGCGATCCACTTGGCACTGTCAAAGTAGCGATGCCTTTTTTCATCCACCTTTCTCCTAATCCTCTTACAGTCTTCTCAGGATAATGGATTGAAGTGCACTCGCTTCACGTAAAAGGGCGTTTTACTGTGCTAATATTTTCATCCTTAAACGCCAGCTATGTAGACATCTACTTTGCGATGTTGAAGTGAAATTTTCGGGGTAAAAGGAAGTTGGATTAAATGGCGGAATTTTAGGCTACAAATCTGTGATCACTTTGTAAGTCGTCATTAAACTGTTCTCCCAAATGAAAGATTAAGCATCATCCAACTGGATTTAATAACTAGCGATCTGGACGTAGTGATATCGCTAAATGGGCTCTTAGTGATCTATTAATGGCAGTGCGGGTATATTCGCCCACCATAATTCACTTTCACAACTATACTCGCTGCTGTCTGTAGTTAGGCGTTATGTAAGCTTGTAATTTTGTCATCATTTCATCTGCGGTTTCACTTATGCATGTGGTTAGACAAATTAGATTCTTATTTACAAATGCCTACGCATAGTCTGTAATGCTTGCTAAACCGTTAGTACGAATTTATCCATCCTCTAAACACGTCTTCTAAAAGGTGCTTGACGTTCTAACAGGTTCCACTCTCAACACTCAACAGCCCTTAATCCCAATAATACCTGGGAGACTTATCATCAATCACATTTTGTTTAACCTAAAGTCCCACAGGCTGCACTTTCTGGGGCCGTAAGAGATGGCCATTTCGTCGACGAATTTGCGCAATGTTGTTGGCTGCCTTTGGCACCCCCTTCATTCTTGCCATCGTGACCGCGCTCGCTATACCCGGCATTGCAATCGGCTTTCCTGCCTACCTTGTCTACAAGGTGATTGTACTTTATCCACAATTTCTAACGTTCTCGCTGAAATAAAATAAGTAGTCCGTTTTGCACGTAAAATACTACAAAGGTTAAACTGTAGAGATAAATACCATCCCATCACCGGTCGAAATGCATTCAGGTTAATATTCCTAAGTTTGACTCTTATTACCATAGTGAATCTCTTCTTCGCACATCATTCTGTGCCATTTCACTCATTAACCTAGTTAGAATTTTCACAACTGACGTCAAATTTGACGTATTCACTGCAGTAGCTGGTTGCATCATGCTGTGTATTATGCTGACCAATTAAATTTTGAATAATTGTATGACTGTTATTTACTTAATAGAAGTCATGTTGTTGTCAGTGGTGGTCGACTTGCCTCTTGGAACTAGTAGTTGACTTGTTTGACAAATGGCAATTTTTCAGTGACTAATTACCCATTATCTTCTTTACTTTAGGTAGGTCAAAACGTGAAGGGCAAAAAATGGAGGCGTATTCTTCTCAAAACGTTGTCTTTCTTTGGAGGTCTCTTGGTTTCCCCAATAATTGCAGGTAAGGGCTCTTACGGTGCAGGTGTCACTGTTTTTTTCGTTCAGAAAAGGAGGACGGGTTCAAATTTGACAACACTTGGAAATGAAACTTCATGTGAAACTGCGATAATATAATTTTTTGAATAGTTTATACACAAAACTTGTTGTTTCTTTCCCTATTAGTCGCTACTCTCAAGTGATATTCCTATATGCGTGCGTGAGCAGAGACTTTATCGAGATCTCAGAGTTATAGGGCGATAATGACCTCAGGAAGCGGGGCCCTTAACGCGAAAGCATTATTTGCTATAGCCTTGAATTAACGCTCTTCTCCTATAATAGGATGCAACTTCATGGACCGATTCCATTTTAAAGTTTTCATTCGCGATTTGATGACCTCCTGCTCTTGTCGTAGAGATTAGCATGTCGCGTCGGAATCTAATGGTTACAGTGGACACAGCTAGAGTGCAGAAGAAGAAGGAAATTTTAGGAAATCAACAAAACTTTGGGAACAAAGGCACTACCTCTGGGGTGTATAAGCATCCATAGAACAGTCTGATACTTGCTCCCGCCAACTGTCCCATTATTTAAAAAAAAATGATTCACCAGTTTCTGAATGCTTGTGGAAGATGTTAGGTTAGTTAAGAAATCTGAACTGTTTTCTAGTTACGCAGTTGGGGAACTAGTTTGATAGTCTCTTCTACCTTCAGTTTGGATCATCTTATTTTGCTGTTGAGTAACAGCATAGAACTAGGGAATTCGGACTATTTTAGATTTTGAATTTCTCCTTTTGTTTATGTAAGGAGCTTCGATTTGACAAGCCGTTTCGTTGATAGAGTTGTGTTGCTAAATAAAATAGACATAGATAATGGTTAAATTGATACAATCTGGTCGGCAAGTTAAGGTCACTAAACCTCACTATCTTCCTCTGCCAGGACTGGTGGCTCTTTTTGGTATTCCCCTGGTGCTAATCTACGTCTACATCTTCATGCCCATTACCCTCTTCTCCGAATTGAAAGTGCGTCTCAGTACGGACTCGACAAATACCGCGGACGTTGACCCGGAAGTAGGATTCAAGATTAACTGGGACCGCGTAGGTGAGTCTGCCTCTACCACCTCCTCTACTGTCACTGCTTCTGTCGATACCCTGGCACCGGAAGACAGTCCCAAAACACAAAAGGCCTCAAAGCATGCTGAAGTACGGTCCTCAAAGTCCCTTGAAGTGCTTCACGAGAGTGCGGCGGAGTATGATTCGTGAATGCCGTCATGCCACACACCGGTGCCTCTATTCTCCTTTCGAATTTCAAAAGATTCCGTCCCCCTCATTCAATTACTGATCTTTCTGCTCGCACAACGAGTCGGCGGTCAGCCACCGATCAGCAAGCAGATCAACTGCAAGCTTCACTTTATTTCGCTTTTGTTACGATAAAGGACTGTTTTATTCAGCCTTTTTTGCTAGTGTGTTCCATGAGTTGTAAGGTTCGTTTTTTTTTTGGAGAGAGGGGAACAGAAGTTACTGCAGTTGGGTATGCATTTAATTATTTCGCGGATGACTTGTAAGCAGGGAAGCTCCCTTGATTTCTTAGTTTACAAACGAGGACTACCAGAGCTGAAGGTTACATAATGCATCAATGCTCTGTTGATTCTACTTTTCTGACTCAATTTTCTTAGGTTGATCGACATTGAATAATTGTGAAATACAAATAGGTAAACTCACTAATTAAAATTTCATATTCCGTAAGTGTGGGTGACATCGCAAGCATTTCTGTGCACAAGTGATCGCAGTTTCAATTGCGCAATCCACTACAATGGGAGGTTGTTGATGTCGATTTTCTGACGTCTTGGTCGTATAACTCGTCTTTTTAACGATAAAATAAAAGTCCTTCTTCGTTGAACCTCTCTTTATTGTTGAAATGGATATGTGTTATCTCGGACCCATTGGCGTTGGGTTGAAACAAGTGAATTAAAGTAATATCACAATGAGTGTTTCGCTGCAAGAGTGAGCCAGAAAAACAGTAAAATTTGATTTAGAGTGAAAAAAAGATTGGATTGTGGCCGATAACAAGTTGAGCTGCAGGTCATAGGGGCTAGGTCACTAATTTGGTGGTATTTAGAAGCAATAATAGTCAAAATTGTGAGAACAGAGTTTGGGATCGCGAATGATTTATGAAACGAGTGTGAGTCAGGCTTAAAGGCGTTAAAGTTACTTCCAAATAACAGTCTAAAGGCATCTGAAGCACACAAAGAACTGTTAATGAAAACCCCAAAATATCACTCATTTCGTACCGCGTGCCCTTTTACTATCAACTTGTTCAACTTGCTATGGTGTCTGGCATTTCTGCTGTAGGTCAACGAAATTGACGATGGGACTTAGGAATGTCGCATGCGGTCGGTCGGACATTTCGTTGGGACTGACATGCGTCCGTCGTTTGAACCTACTCGCCGCACGCTTGGGTTTGCACTGAGGCAAGATGGATAAAGGAAGTGGGTGTACATTTTTATGCCATCAGTGAAAATAAGTGACTTGAAAGCATCATTGACATTCAGAAAGCTAAGTCTGCTCAAGTATGAATACAAGACAACAAGGGTATCGCTAGTGGAGGAAGTCAAACTGTTAGAGCCAACCATCGATAACCGAAATTTCATTTGAAGTTTCTACCTGCATAAAAATAGGTAGTCAGGTAGGGGTGGGAAGTTGGACCGGTGCATGACAATGGTCGTGCGGATGGTGACGTTATCAAATTCCTATGCAACAGATTATTAAAGGTACGCCATTCCTAAAGTTTTACTCAGAAGTTAGAAAAGCTTAAGGGAGTCAGTCAAAAAACGCAATTTACCAATTCTTCTTCAAATGCATTTACTTAAATTGTACAAACAATTGCGCTCCCTATTTAAGTGGTCAAAACGGCGAGGCGATTTCTGCGTGTGGGACACTCGGTAAGGGGACACTCAAAGCGCAGTCAGCTTTTCATCTTAAGTGCACAAAACAGTGCTAGTTGTAACGAAGGCGACAGCTCTAGTCCAATTATTTCAGAAACCTTTCTGCTAGTAAACGAGATCAAAAATATTCCTTTATACTAAGTTGCTTAATACGTGGGTAAGACTCACATTAAAGTAATATTAATAAGGACTATGAAAGGCATAACTTTGAAGGTCATTGAATTTTGAGTTGAGAGAGGTAAGGAAAGATTTCTCCACCCATTGTGAAATGGAGCTCTGTGTCTTATGAGTGAACAGCTGCTTGAGGGAAGGCGTTGCTATGGCATTTGCAAGGGTTTTTCGCCAAGTCAGCATTAACAAATCAGTATGAGCTGTTGAAGCTATAGAAGAGCATACAGTTGTGCAATCGGAATGGTATTAGGGATTTGGAGGATCGGAGTAGTTGTGAGAGCTGGGCTTTATTGCCAACAAGAGAGATTAGTTACCTGCTCAAAGTGATGAACTAGTGAATCGCTTTATCCAAAGCCTTTAGTGTTTACTTCCATACTTCACCTATATAATTTGCGGCCATTTTAGTGGTCATTGGGCCTCTCTCTGGGAGAGCCGTAGCCTCACCTCTACCCCTTCTCTCTGAACAAAAGTCTTATGCCTTCTACTACCAACTGTGAAGTCTCGAAGCGCTACAGCTACTGTTGTGCCTCAGTCATAACTTGACTGCAAAACGCGTGGAACGAAACGAGACAGGAATAAAGGCAATGCGAATGCAGCATTTGAAAGTAGTGGGACGAATATATACATTTTGGTAAATTTGGATAAAATTAGGCTTTAGTCTTACTTTCATTCCCAAGTATTGCACCATCTTTTGCTCTCAAAGAAGTTTGAAAATGCTACAAACTAGCTCTTTACATCCACAGTAATACCTGATTTCAAATTAGGGAATTTAAATAGCAAATGCTACTACACATTATAAGTAGAATAAAAGGTATTAACGTTGCACAAATCATGAAATCTAACGGAGATTTCGTTACTCATTCTCTTCACGTGCTCCCCTAAACACTGAAGCACACTTCTTGGAACCGTGGTACTTTGACTTGACGCCTACCTTTTGGAGACTTCGGTCCGATTGACGTTCAGAAGCGAAAAGTAAGTTTGATAGATGAGTTGCACACCTGTGACGCAGTTATGCAAATTTTTGAGCGAAGTAAAACTTTTGCATTTCACTACCTTCAGTGAATCCTTCCTCCATTTAAACGTGTTTTACAACAACATCACATTGTCTGGCAATGATAAAGAAAACGTTTTTTCGAAGCAGCGAAAATAAAAGCTAGCTGGACAACGTCTGCTATTTAAGACGATAAAGAACTCCGGTGAGTAGATATGCGGAATGGGCAAGGATAAGGCCGTCGAACAAGTGTCGAATTTCAACAAGTAATTTGATATTCAGTCATTTCTAAACAACAAAATATGTCGTTGATCGTTTTTAGTTTTGAAATATAAGCGTACCTAGAGGAATGGAGCAAAATTAACAATCAAATTCACTAATTCCCTGATCGAGTAAGCTAATCCTTAATCTACCTCAAATCACCACTTGAAATGATTGCATTTTGTTGAGCTGCATGAACCTACTCTGCCTTACACATCAAATTGAGCCGAGTTAGTCCCAAAAGCTTCAAAAGATTCTCCCCAACTTTCATGCTAAGGCCTCGACATGAAAAGGCATGCTTAATGAAAGGGAGCTTAAAGTCATGTTACAGGTGAATGGCGGCGAAGCGGTTGGATTACGAGAGCACCAGCAACGATGGTGAGATTATGGGAACGTGTACCAAATGGCGTGTGGGAGGTAACAGGTTTCAAAGATCGGTGTGATGTTCACTTATTTCACACGCATTTTATTGTTGCTAATGTCTGTCCAACTGATTCAACTTCTCAATCGTGATGAGAAATGGCATTTTAATCGAATAAAGGTAGCATTAGGAACGCTAAAATGGTCTACTTACCGATCCAATCACACATACATAGAAGAAGAGAAGTACTGTGTGCCTACAAGACAATTCACGCCTTGAGCGCAATGCAGGCGCGCTCGCTCACTTGACGAAGGACAAAAAATTGCTTTGGAGACTCATCATGTTGATGCAGGTTGACGAAACTCGAAAACTTGCATTAATACAGTCAAGATCGGTGACTCAGTCAAAAAGTTACTACAAAAAGTATCTCAAGTAAAGATTTGTACTCCAAGCAAAAGGAAGGGAGCGGAATCCTGCCATGATCCGAGTGATCGTTACTGTTTCTTAGGCTTATGACTTGGTGGCTACAAGCTAAATAAATCCGTCAGAATAGATAAAAGAGAAAGTCAAACTTGTTTTAAAATCATAAATAAAAAGCACCAAAACTGTGAAAGGCTCAGCACAATGTGTCACCACTGAGACGTAGTACAATCTGATATTTTAATTTTTCCCATAGAGTTGTTAAATGGTCTCCTCCAACAGAAGCACATGCAGTTGGGTCGTAGCCTGACATCGCTTAGAATATGGATTCGACCACTGTGACATTTCAAACTGTTTTCCAACCACCTCAATAACTATTGGATAGTTTATCCAATTAAATTTGGCATTATTTATATGAAATCATAAAACAGCCATTGTTAACCGAGTGACACCTATCCACGCCACTTGCCCATGTCGTTGGACTCGGGTAATGGAGGTACTCTTACCATTGGGAGGAGACATCACGTCCCAACGTCGAAGGATTTCTGTTTTAAGATTAGTTGCTAGTTACTTGTATTTACGCCTCTGGTGCGTTTTGTTTTGCTGAACTGCATCCTTCGAACGAATTAACTGCAATATGTATTGAGTAATTAGTGTTCTTGAGGGTAGGAGGCGAAACTGCATTCGAAGGAGTCTGAGGCCGTCCTACAGGTGCTACTGCCCTCCCTCCTCGGTGTGACAATATTAACTCTTTGCTATGCCTGATAAAACCTCTACGAGAAGATCTTCTTCCGAGGAGGGATAAGGGTCGGCACCCAGTGTGAAGTCTTTACTGGCCTTGGCACTATGTCGACGGTCCTAATTTTAATCTTCCTGCGAAATGTATACATTATGCTTAAGTACTGTATTCTTTTACCTGTAAAGAAGCATTGCGAAGCACAAACTCAATCCCCCAAATCGATTGCAGTGGTCTGAGCATTCTTGAGAACTTTGAAAAAAAAACAGTCCAAAATTATACATTGGCGTTTGTACATCCTCTATTTTGACAGAGTCAGCTTGAAAATGCTCACTTACGCCTTTAGATTGGGTGAAACGTCTTCGATGTCGAGGCAGT